AGGGGGGCGGGGGGGTTGGGTGGGGGGGTTGGCAGGCACTTACCTGCTTTGCACTCTGTAGTTCAGGCAGCAGAGCACATGTCTTGCAGCAAATCAACCAGCACATTTAACTGGCAGACATGCAGAGTTGCAGGCACAAGACTAAAGAAACAGAGAATTTTTTTTTGAAAAAAGTATGATTAACTTTGAACTTTGAACTTCGGATTTAGTAATTTAACTTCATAACTCCATATATAACTTAAAAGTCCGAACTTTGCAGTTCAATTCATAACGTCAGAGTCTTCAGACTGGCAGCACTGTCAGTGCTCTCTCTCTCTCTCTCTCYCYCYCCCCCCCCCCCAAACAGGCAGCAGCGGCGGGCGCCACGTTGAAACGGCCGCTTTGAAATTGCTCGGGCCTGTGCGAAACCCGCCACCTCAAAAACCTGCAGTGTCTTGTGTCTGGACCTCTAGGCCATGTCCGGTGGGGTGAAACAACACTTAAAAATGACTCCGTTATTTTTCGAGGGGCAGCTAGGACCCTACAAACGTCCTGGGCCGCCCCGTTTTTTTTTTTGATTTTTGCCTCAGGGGCCTCCATCCGGACATGGGGACTAGACACCGGACACCGGACATCGGACACCGGACTGTCTGGAACCCGGTCCGGACGTCCGGGCGGTTACCATGATATTTTTTAATTTATTTTTTGCCCATTTTTTCCCCGTGAAAAAATCCTTGTGAAGAGAAAAACATTGCTACTGTGCTACAGCCTACAAGGAATTTTTAGGAATTTTTGGTCTTCTGTTGGAACAGCTTTGCAGTCGGTTTCACATGGGTTGTTACGTTTTTTGGGAATTTTGTCGTGTTGTGGTTGAAGTTTATAGGGCTTTTGTGGAGTTGTGGTATGGAATCTAGGGATTATGTCGTGACTTTGTCATCTCTGCCGATTTAGGTAGTAAACAATATGCATTGTACCTTCAGATTTGTTCGGGTTAGGAATTCCTGTTTCACACCTGTTATCTTTCTCTAGAGTTTTTTGAGCTTCTCCTCTTTTTGATTTTGACTTGTCAAATTTTTGAATTTTATCCGGTTCGTTTTTCACAGGGGACGGGCTCCGCTTGCTGGATGCAGCCGGAGGCCTTGTGGCCCCTGAGTTTGAAACTTGTGCTCATTTGTATTTTTGCGTTGGGCACTGGGCCCTGATAATAAAGGGAAATTTTCTTAAAAAAAAAACTTGTGCTCTGTTTCTGTTTTTGTTTTTTTTATAAATATATTTAAAGACGGAAAATGAGATACAACCCTATATTGTTTTGTTTTTTTTTGCTCATTCTTTGTTGATGAAAAAAATATCCACGGGTGGTGTTGATAATACTTGATATGCATCAACTTGGCTGTTCAATGCCAGTTCAACGCAGATTCAACGAGCGTTAAATTATTTAACGCAAACCCCGTGTTGAATCCAAATCCACACACTCAGGACCGGTTAACTGCATTGAATGATTGGATGCTAATCCCCATTTGTGGACTTCTGTGCCATAATTTCTGTGGATTATGTGAATTGACTACAGCTGCTGTTTGTCCATGGAACGGGGTGTGGTTGGAAAACAGGTGACTTCGTCGATATATAATATTATCATTGGGAAACTTTATATTGATCATTATGGCACGATGAGGATCCAGGGGAACCGTGACCTTTCCTGCAAGTTGAAGTTCAAGGAGCAGTCGATCATTGATCGTAATCCTCATCAGGTTGGGCACACATTCATGTTTGCAAATTGTTGGTTGCACCACATGGTTGTCGTCTCCTCTGAGATCCGGTCTGATTGGGCATCCTGTGGTGGCGGCATTTGGATGTGTGGATGGTCAATTGAGTAGAGTTTTGCTGTGCTGCAGACTATTGAAGCCTTGGATCTTGTTAGTGCATTTCCCAGCTACTTTGCTCTGATGCGGTGTTAACCAGCATGTCCTTAGGGGCTGGTATTGCCCGCAATGGTTTACTGATCAGTGCTGGGGGCCTCAGACCTCCTCCATGCACCCACCGATTTGAACCGGCCCCCTTGGCCACAAGAGCCAAGACTCTCAACCACGACAGACTTGTCACGGTGTACAAAAGTGGAACCTAACCGGTCTTGATATCCACCCCACCCCTGCATGGCTGTAGTGTCCTTGCTCACACCACACTCAACACCACTCAGCAATGCTAGGCGAATGGCCAGTCAAATCCTCATCTGGAGAAAGAGGCTCAGATGTAGTGGTGGCTTAAATTTACTCTCTCTTAGTGACATCATGCATCAGATCTGGGATGGTTGCGACCACATAGATATTCCTAATTTGAAAATACGGTTGATACGAAGTAATTGATATCTTCTGGGTGTGGTCCGCTTTCTGATGATTGTGCCATCTTGTGGTTAGACCTGTGGTGCATCCATGATACCGCATGGTTTGGGAGGATCGTTTTTTTGTATGGAATACTGTGAAAGTGAATAATGCAAGAGAAAAATGTAGATTGGAAATGATGCTCGCATGTAGCATGGAGGCACGTAACGAGGCTGTTTTTCATTCTTGTTTTTAAGAAAGGAGTGCACGATATGCAAGTCAGTGCTGCATGTATGTGTAGGAGAACTGGATTTTGTTAGAGATTGGATATTTGGGCAATACTACCCTTAAATTGGTTGAACTTCAAGCACGGGGCACCGGTAACAGTAGAAAGTAGAGTGGTCCAGAACTTATGGTGGGAACCTTTTTCTGTGTTGCTGTTACCTTCAGGTGAAAGGTCTTGTCACAAACTCGAAGGGGGAGAAGCTCGCAACATTGTTTGGTAAATGGGATGAAAACATGTACTATGTGAAGGGTGATCTAGATGCAGCAGGCAGAGAACAAGCACCAGATCCGAAGCTGCTGTGGAAGCGAAACCCTCCAGCAGAGCACCCAACTCGCTATGGGCTCACATCATTTGCAATCACACTGAACGAGCTGAGTCCAGAACTGAAGGTGGGCAGGAGATTTCTTCTCTCTCAACCTCCCTCTGCTTTTCTAGTTGTGTACTGCTTGGTGTCATTTCGTTTGCACTGGGTTGCGACCATGGATCAGGGACAAAGCCCGTTCAATTGTCGGTCAAGGCTGAAATCCACACCACTAAGCCTTCAAGGATTATCACTCCTGGATAAACAGTTAGCATTCCTACCTGCCAGGCTGGAGGAGGCTGGCTTTCCTGTTACCGCCACTTTCCCTTCCCGAGGCGGGATCTATTTGCATGATTTGTAAGAGGGAAATACTGTCCCCTTGGGGAGATTTATCAGGTGTGAATTAACACTCTGAAGTTTGAGCATGATCTTTGATTTGTTGTCACTATTCAGAAAGCTTGGCTGCAGTGAGAGGCAAGCTGAACAGAAGGACAGAAGGCGTATTGCTCGGTTTCAACTTGCATTTTGGCAAACTCCATGTCAAGCTTTGTCATGTCGTTTGATGGTTCTCACTTTGGATGCTGGCAAACTCCAAGTCAAGCTTTGTCATGTCGTTTGATGGATCTCACTTTGGATGCTGATCAACTATGTGCTGGATAAATTGGCGACATCAGCATTTTGCCGTAGTTTCAATGGATAACGTGGGTCACAACTTGCAAATCTGCTGCAAACAGTGGTGCAAATATTGGCTCTCACATCATTTTGATGGTGCTAGGCACTGTTAGCTTTAACCATACATCAAGATTTGTGGCCAACGTCCACGATGGTGTTTCAGTTTGGAATCAACACTGGGGGACACAGATGCCCTTCCCTTTATCTATTTCGCCCTCAAAGTTGATAAATGTCCACCTTCTGTTTGCCCTAGCCTTGGGGTCACCGGATGCAATGATGTTTCCCAACCTGCACCTCTCTCAATCACCCGCCACCATTTAGTTCGAGGCCTGCATAGCAGGGCGCCCCATAAACCTCTTTCCTGTACAACAATGGATACTCGATGGCATGAATCCGCATGATCATCTCTCTTTGCATCAAGAATAACGAGTTGTATCAAGAAAGCGGTGTGCAACGATCCTGGATCCTGCAAAGTGCTGAGGAGGTTGTCTTGGCCCTTGATCGTTCTACTCCATACACATCAGATTTTACTACAATGTTTATTAACCTGCAACATGACACGTTCCTTAGTAATGTACGAAACATTGTTCATGAGGCAAATGATTATGCCCCGAAACTGATTCCACAAGATAGGTGGCCAACATAGATGTATATGCAGTTTCGGCTCCTCCTTGTTTTAAGGAGTGGGTTAGTTCACATGACTCTGGCACTTGCAGTGTAAGACAAACGACGGCATCTATGGTTTGTGGTCTCTAACACTTTCCTCTGTGCACCAGATCGTACCCTGTGGCATCAAGTGGTCAGCATCCCTACACGGGCACTGACACTGGGCCGGGTATATTGCCAACCTTAAGCTCTATTGGGATGAGGTGCAATTGATAGACGGATTGTGCCAGCGGGATGTGTACGCAGTACAACAATAACATCCTGTCTTGGAATAACTTTCGACCGCCTCCTGCTTGGTATGGGCTTGAGTGGAAAGACACGATAGAGCATGATGTTTTTGGTTTGATCAAACAGTGTGCTCCTCGTCAGTGCAGCCTGGATATTCCCAGTCATACGCTATTCCTGTGGCGTCTCCAATGTCCTTGCTCATCAGCCTCCAGATGTACTCACAGGGCAGCCGGAAATGTTTGGGCATAATACTACCAACTTTGAAGTTGCAGTGACTTAGCTGACATATAATATGTTAGCTAGATCCCATCCCTTGGTGCCATAGCCAGGGGGTGGAATACATGCGGTCATGGCCGGCAATGTCACCCAGCTTACAAACTGATTCGCCGCATTGTTCACAGGTGGCTTGCCTGTGAACTGCCGACAATCAATGTTGTGTATATAGGCAGCAGCAGTCTTCCATACATCCACATGCTGTGGCCCTGCTATCAGGGGAATGGCGACTGCTTAATGTGGATGCTGCAGTCCTAGCAGAAGCCGAGCCTGCTGAAGGTCTTCGAATTAACTGCAGGGGATTATTGCCAGCAGCCTACGGTTGTTGATGCTGTAGAATGCATGCCACCACAACCCCATTGGGGAGGCTTGCACGAACGGGAGTTGAGTGGTCAAGATGAGTTTCCCCTTCAGACATGCAACTCCATATGCGGTCCCACGCCCTTCAGGTGAGGACCGCCCCTGGACACTGCAGGAAAATATTTTCTATTCTTTTATTTATCTTTCTCTAGGGTGTCTTAGATAGCAGGAGTTAGACGATGGCAAGGCCTTCCTGCCCTGCTCTAGATTTGTATGATCAATCAGCCAGCTGTTATTTGGTGGGCATTTGTGTTCTCTTTGCCATTGCAATGTCAAACTCTTCGGGGGCTTAAGCGCTTCCACACCGTCTCTTCCCCATCTGACTCTCCGTCACAATCACCGGCCTCCTCCCCTGCATCTCCTGCTACATCCTTACCACCTCCTACTGCCTTCTGCGTCTGCCTTCTGCATCTGCGTCTTCTTCTTCTTCTTCTTCTTCTTCTTCTTCTTCTTCTTCTTCTTCTTCTTGTCTTCTTACTCGTCTTCTTGCCTCCTCCATCTCTGACGTCCTTGAGTCCGTCGTCCTCCGTGCGGTTGCCACGTGGCAACCGCCGCATCAAACTGTTTTTTTTTTTTTCGATTCTTCTTCTTCTTCTTCTTCTTCTTCTTCTTCTTCTTCTTCCCCTATCCTCCTTCTCCATCGTCATTCCCCTTCTTCTTCTTTTTCTTCTTCTTCTTCTTCTCTTCTTGACCTTCCTCCTCATCTTTTTCCCTCCCTCATCTCCAACTTCCACCTTCGTCCTCCCTGCGGTTGGCCCGTGACGACCGCCGACCGGTGCACGTTCTTTCTTCTTCTTCTTCTTCTTCTTCTTCTTCTTCTTCTTCTTCTTCTTGCAATCGCTGTTGGCGTTGTTGGCGTTCGTCGCGATCACTGCTGTTACCGCCATCGTCATCTTTGTGCTCTTCATCTTCTTCGCCATCCTCATCGTCGCCATTGTTGCTGCCCTCATCCTCTTCCTCTTCTTCTTCCTAATCAATACATTCATAATATCGTTTGCACAGACGATCTAAATTCCCATCGCGTTCGAACCGAAGTTGAGGATGAACTTCCTATAGTAATTAGCTAATCCTAGGAACGATCGCAGCTTGGTTAGGGTCTTGGACCTTGGCGACTCTTGAATCGTAGCTATATTCTTATCCTGAGGCCACACT